GGCTATGTGAAATTTAATGGAAACGTCAGCTCAACTCATATCATTGTGGGAAAATTCTACTACCAGTCCTGATCACCTTACACGAAATAGGGTGAATACATCTCATTACTCTTGAATTAAGCTGAAAGTTTAAAAAAGAAAGTATAAGATAAGTGTTAACAGCAGAAATATCACTTTGCTTGATTAGAAGTAATAATGACAAAAATATTCAATTTCAGGAATATTTTTTTCAAAAAAAAGATCGAAAGGTAAAGTGAAAGGATATAAACGATGACAGGGACAATTATAAAGGTAGTAATTTGATAACACTACACACAAACCCTTAATGTGGAAGTAATAGAAAAATAAAGTAAAATAATCATAATAGTATGTAAACTGATTGAGCAAGACTAGGCTGCCGATAGTTTATAAATCATGCTTTTGTGTAATCGGATCTGGGAAAGAATGAAGGCAGGTGAAGAATGGTGAAAGACCAGATGGTGGCGGAATATGAACATAACAAGAACTATATAGGGAAGTGTATAAGGAAAAAAACTATGCAGTGAGGAAAGCGAATTTGATTGGACTGACTTAAATCAAAAGTCGCAAGAAATATATGGCCAGAACACAAATCAATACATGCGACAGTAAGATAGATTTACCAAAGCTCGATACCGAAAATCATTATAAGGCCAGATTCGAAAGTTTATTTTGGTTGTTAAAAGTGCATAAGCATTTGGATTTAGAATAAGAGGAGAAAAGGTTATGGCCAAAGTTCTCAAAATACTGTAAAAACTCAGAAAAAAGGCGTTTGACTATTATCACTAGAGAATTTAAAGCCATCTTTTATTGTGGAATTAAAAACGATTATAGTAATAGGTAAGAACTTTTTTGTTCAGGTCTCGTCAAGTCAAAATAGCTGCTTTTATGTTTAAATAAATTAATCCCAGTAGAAAAGTTTAATTTGTCGATGCGTCTGGATAAAAAAGATTCTTAAATTAGCTTCACATAAAAAGTGTGGAAAGTCGCAGTGGTGTTGAGATTGCTGTTGCGTGAGTGCTATTGTCCATCGAATTTTAATGAAGCTTTCATCTAGCATGTGGCAGATAGTATCGTAGCAATTAACCATTTATCGATTAAATTCAAAAAAGCTAAGTCGAGAATGGTGGCCATTTTTCATTCGAAATGAAAGGTTTATTGATATAGAAATATTAAAGGTCCCTAAGCACAGCGTTACTTCATATATTTGTAGAATTCTAAAGAGAGACTTCATGAGTTAGTAAATAATATTTAAAATTAAATTCAGAAGAAGCTTTGAGGAGCATGGTTAGTTAAAGATTCAATCTAAGTCGTATACCTTAGTTTTGCCTGGGTTTTGGTTGTGTATTTAGCACGAGTGGCACAAAAATCCAACCCACGACTCAATAAGAGATAACAAAGGGAAATATAAAATGTATAAATGTAAATAAATTAGTATTACAAAGAGGCATGTAATTTAGCTACTCAAATTATAGGTATGTGCTATTAGTAAAATGTTGGAAATCTATGTCACGTTTATAATCCAATACTGTATACAAGATACACATTTTTAGACTGTAGAAACAGAGAGAGTAAATAACCGCTCGGTATTAAAATCACTGCTCAATTTACATACTTGTCGAGTGCGCGACTCGTGGGCATGCTTCGGGCTAGACCAGATACCCCGTTCACGCGAAAGTAGGGAATATCGTTTGTGTGGCTGGCAATAACAGCAAGTGAGTCACAAGGAGAAACAAAAAACCCTTGTCGACCGATCAACATATTGCGGTCCCCATCTCCATCAAATGCCGCAGCAAGACCAATCGAAGCATCTTTGCGTACCTGATCTACTAAATCGGCGGCATAGGTCAAGTTGGGGTCAGGATGACCGCCCCCAAAGTCTGGCAGAGGAACAGACTTCAAGGCACAGTCTAAAGGAAGTCCAAGACCTTGGCAAAGCACATGCTTGATGTATGGACCCATTACTGGAGAACAAAGAACAAAAACAGGGAAAGGAAGCGTGTGTAATAAAAGCGAAGCATGTACGGTTTATATTTTACACGATATAATCGCCAAATTTCCAAATAAATAAATTTCATTAAAAAATAAAATTTTTAAGAGAAATCTTGGAATACAAAATTTTGTATTCAAATTTCTGAAATACATTACAGTTTTGAATTAGAACTGTACTCACCCTAGTTGCATAAGTTGATGAGAGACTGATAAGAGAAGGCATTATAATGCTATTAAATTACAATGAGCTATGTCGTCCAACGTCTATTCTTCTGCATATTGGACTGCAGTTTCGACCATGAATGGACCTCATCCTCATACCAAACGGGAATCCAGCCAGGATTATGCAGAGTATAAGTTTAAAGTATTACCGTTGAGAAACACTGACAAGAGTGGTAGATGGTAACAATGCAGTGAATTTCAGGGTAAGCTTAGCCACACCTACACAGCATTTAATTGTGGGATTGACAATGAGACAAACTTGAATTTCGCCATCGCAATCGAATACATTATTTATATTCACGGAAAATAGGTATCGATACTATAAGTAGATCCTGAATAAGAGCTATAAACCTCAATTGCTTTTTGAATAAAATAAAAAACACAGAAGACAAAGAGAAATCCAGCATCGTTTTAAGCTGAGATCGACCTAGAATTCCTAGCATAACACTTGCGCAATAAATTTAAGTCAGACGTCAGACCAATCAACTTGACAATAAGTACTACCTGCTTCGCATTCAACATCAACATCTATGAACAGACAATTGGACTTCCCATGGGATCGCCGCTCTCACCTTTCGCTGTAAAATGTATATATGAACAAGCTAGAAGAGAATTTCAATGTATCACCGCTGCAACCAAGAGTTCTTATGCGATACCTGGATGACTACTTTGCAATATGGTCGCATGGAAGAGAAAAAGTGAAGGATTTCCTGAAGTTTATGAACTGGGTTTGGTAAATAATCAAGTTCAAAATGAATGTAGAGGCAGAGGAGCGTTTGGCTTTCCTAGATATGGTCATTCGCTCTACTAGGGCACTCAAGACAAAAATGTTTCGAAAAAGTCATATGCCGGGATATAACTCAACTCTGAATCTAATCATAACTAGGGAATGAAGATAGGTAAACTGAGGAGTATGATCATCAGAGGCTTATGATAAACGGACCTGGGATTCTGGGATGAAGAATTGGAAAAATCGACTCAGATATTTCTCGTTAATAGGTACCTGAATGGAATAATGCAAAGAAACATACAGGCGGTGAAGAGCCAATGGCAGAATCGGGATTGTAAAAGAAAGGTAAAGATGGAAAAAGACTCACAAAAGTGGATACGCCTCACTTCCTGCGAACTAACTCAAAAACTACGGCCAATACTAATAAAATGGAATATTCAGATGAACACGAAGGAAAAAACAGCACTTCAAAAGTCTACGCACGCAACATGAGGCAAATTAGATTGCCCGGGAGTTGATTGCATAGCATGAGGCACCTGTGAGTAAAAATATATTGGAGAAACGAGGAGAAAAATCCGCATACGAAGCATCAAGGGTTCTGCAGAAAAATTGATACTGAAAGATTAGATATAGCGAAACACATCGCAGAGACTGGCCACGAGATCAATTGGAAGGCGATAGAATCAAGAACTAAATGGTAAAAACACAAAGAAAGGGTAGAGTAGGAAGGCCAATTACGTCCTTGAGGGAAAATGTAATGAACAGAAGATTGTAAGAAGGCAGAGTTGATGATAACTTTGCCAATTGCCTAAACAAACTCGGAGAAAACAGGGATACAAGACAAGCAAAAATGAGACGCCTAGATCAAGGATGTATCGTTACCCAGAGAAAGGGAGATCGCAAGAAAGCAGGGTAAGAAAGATTCAGAAATGAAGCGAAGACGTCTTTAGTGAGTGCAGTCAGCTCGAATAAACAACTACAAGTTTAGAGGCCTGACGTCTCACGTTACAAGGGAGAGGGATTTGGTCACAGAAATTTGGCATTATGACCAAATTGATTAATAATCCACTAAAGATGTAACAGGCAACAAAAGATAGATATCGACCATTTGCTCAGGGTACATGGGTTTAATAAGATGTGTGAAGGCAATGCCTAATCTCTGCAAACATGGGAATCAGAGGCTAGGCGTTCTGCAGATTAGGCGACATTGTACGTGATACCGGAGACTTTAGAAACAGCACCTAGAGTAAAAAGTACACTATGGCTGGAACCGAATGAAATTGGTCAACCAAAATGATACAAAACGGACCTACGGGCCCATGGGGCAGATACGAAAAGGAGGCCCGAGTCGGATCAGCCATTCGAAGAGGAAAGGAGCTCCCCTGTGACCCAGATGCATTAGTTGCAATGTGGCCAGGTGGTTAACGTGTCAAGCTCATATGCTCCACTGTCACGGTTCGACTCCCGTTGAGGGTGTTATGCAAGATCGAAACTACAGTCCGGTCTGAATGAGAACAACTTTTGGGAAAGCAAAGCTCTGTGAAATTCAATGGCAACGTCAGTTCTACTTATAGCATTGGAGGGAAATTATACTACTACATCTTCATCATCTTAAACGAAATAGGGTGAATAAATCTCATATAACTGAGTGACTAGTGGTCTCGAAACTCTACTTCTATACCGAAAATATATTACCTATGTTCACGGTGAGTAGATGTCGATAATACAAATCAATTGCATAAATAAAACAGAAGACAAAGGGAAATCCACTATCGTTTTTAGCTAAGATCGACCTAAAAATCCTAGCATGATACTTTCACAAGAAATGAATGTCGGATTGAAAAAGTAATGTCTAAAATAGTGGCTAGACTTGAGAAAGGAAAAGATGTATCGGATGGATTGTTGCCCCAATCAGAACTTTTAGCTAGTTTCGATTACAATTAACATCTTCCTAGAAGAAACGTTGTTTCACTGGCAAATCATTTACCTAGTCGATGCATATACAGATTAAAAATACCAATTTGTAGGTATTAAAATTTGAGACGCAAAACAGATGCGGTAAAATAGCTCTTTTAGCAGATCAAAAGCTGGTTTATTGAGGTGCCTAATCCAACGTTATTCCCAGTATGGCGTCGATTAGTATAACGTCAAAAGTAACACTCATCCTGAATCCTTGTGAATCAGTGGAAAAAGAAAGTCAAAAAAGAGTCATCTCCAGACAGCTAACAAAATTATGTTTGATCAATAGTGAACTTGGATTTAAGGGGTGAGTAGTTAGGTTGATAGAAAAATAGATAAAGACGTCAAGCGATTAATATACTAGATAAAAAGGAAAGCGAATCTGAACATGAAATATTATCCTACATCGACAGAGTTAAGAGCAATGCGAAAAATAGGCATTTAATTTGAAATAAAAATTTTTCTAGAAACCCGTAAAGGACAGGATTGTTATATAAGCAACGATACTCGGGTTTTAAATAGAGAATTTCTATGAATTCATTTATCGATTATCAAGAAATAGAAAACTGAAATTTCTTTGTAGGTTATGTCGTAGTGTTAATGTACAGTAATATTCCTGTAAGCATAGCTGCAAGGGCCCTAAAGTTAACAGTGTAGCAAGTAAAGATTTTAATTAGTAAAAATTTGAGTGGGGAT